AAGTGGCGCTGTAGCTCAAGTGGTAGAGTGCTCGCCTTGAGCTGAAGAGCTGAGGGACAGTGCCCAGGCCCAGAGTTCAAGCCCCACGACCGACAAAAAATAAAATAAAATAAAAACAAAAATATATTACTGCTAGATTCTGGTGGCTCACACCTGGAATCCTACCTCTTCAGTCTGAGACCTGGAAGATAGAGGTTCAAAGCTAGCCCAAGCAGAAAAGCCTCTGAGACTGTTCTTAAAATTCTCTCTCTTGTTCTCTTCCTTACAGCGGCCCTTCTCAGCATTCCTGGCTTTGTGGAGCGGCTTTGCAAACTGGCGACCCGAAAAGTATCAGAGTCAACAGGCACAGCCAGCTTCCTTCAGGAGTTGGAGGAGTGGTACACATGGCTAGACAATGCTTTGGTGCTAGATGCTCTGATGCGAGTAGCCAGTGAGGAGTCAGAGCACAATCAAGGTACTTTGGGAGGGTCTTCTGAGTGGTGAGCTTTTTTAGACCTCTGAAAACATTCCTAATCACCTTCCCAAGGAAAAGTAATGTGAGATTTGCTCACCTTTGACTTTTCCTTAAGGCAGTTCTAGATCAGGACTTGTTAAGATTCTTGCTAGCTCTTTACAGAAACCTCATAGAGCTCCCTTTGAGTGAACCAGAACCACAGAGGCATTTTCTAAGTTTCTAAGCTCACCTGCCTCGAGGGGGATTTGTGTGACTATTAAAGTGTCTGATGGGGGATGGAGCCCATTTGATGCTCTGTCCACAAATTTGAGGGTAGATCATGTTTCCTTCTGATCCATGACTCAGGCTTCTCCTGGGGGCTGTGTCAGCCTCCACTCTGTTCCCTCCTCCAGGAGCTGCTGAGGAGAATGGGCTGCCTCACACTTCAGCCAGGACCCAGCTGCCCCAGTCGATGAAGATCATGCACGAGATCATGTACAAACTGGAAGTGCTCTATGTCCTCTGTGTGCTGCTGATGGGGCGTCAGCGAAACCAGGTGGGTATCTCCCAGCACCTCAGAATAAGGGAGCTGGGAGCAATGCTGCTTGGCATGGCAGGCCATATCCACTTCCCAGCCCTCTCTCAGAATGGCAATAACACGCATTCTAGCCCAGAATGTGTGTGATGGTTTCTTCTCTTATAAGGAAACCAGACTGATTCCAGAGCTTGCAAGTCTTTCCACTGCACTTGGCTGTGGCAGATTTTCTAGGCAGCATCTAAACAGATGCCAGGAGTGGCATCTTATCCCAGAACCGTGAAGAACAAAAGATCAGGCCTATACGTGCTCTGGAAGAGATGCCAGTCTGATGGAGGCTTAGTGTAAGGGCCAGAGACCAGAGCTGTGTCCACTTATAGAACCTGGGCAAGTTATGGCTCAGAGCCAGCCTAGACAGGAAAGTCCATGACTCTTTTCTCAAGTTAATCATCAAAAAGCTGGAAGTGGAACAGTGGCTCTCAATGGTAGAGTGCTAGCCATGAGCAAGAAAAGAAAGCTCAAGGACAGCACCCAGGCCAAGTTCAAGACCCAGAAACAATACATAACAAAATTAAAACAAAAACAAACAAATAAAAAAACTGGTGGGTTGGTGTCAGTTGCTTGAAACCTATAACCCTAGCTACTCAGAAGGCTGAGATCTGAGCATGGAGGTTGAGAGCTAGCCTGTACAGACAAATCCGAGAGACTCTTATCTCCAAATACCCAGCAAAAAGCTAGAACTAGAAATGTAGCTCAAGTTGTAGAGCACCCACTGTGAGTGAAAAAGCTGAGCAAGAACACAGCCTTCAGGGGCTGGGAAGGTGGCTCAGTGGTAGAGCGCTTGCCTCGCATGCCTGAGGCCCTGGGTTCGATACCTCAGCACCACATAAGCAAAAAGAAAAAAGCCGGAAGTAGTGCTGTGGCTCAAGTGGTAGAGCGCTATCCTTGAGCTGAAGAGCTGAGGGACAGTGCCCAGGCCCAGAGTTCAGTTCCCACGACCAGACCAAAAAAAAATTATAGGGAAATAATTACATCCATAAACTTTGCTAGAGGGCCTCGTTCATTATGTTAGAATTTTGGATAATTTTTGTTGTTGGTGGTAGTGGTGGTGGGGCCTGGACGCTGTCCCTGAGCTTTTTCATTCAAGGCTACACTCCACTACTTGGAGCCTCAGTGCCACTTTTGGTTTTCTGATGGTTAATTGGAGATAAGGGTTTCACACACTCTCCTGCCCACACTGGTTTTGAACCATGATCTTCAGATCTCAGTCTCGTGAATAGCTAGTATTTAGACATGAGCCACTGGTGCCCAGCTGATAAAATTTGTTAGGACCTGCAGCGTACTTCCTCAATCCTCTGTCCCAAGCCTTCACGTTAGTGGTCGGTTGTCAGATTTCTTCCTTTTAATGTGCAGCAAGCTCCTTGAAATTGTGGTTGCAAAGAAGAGGATGCCCACGTGCATTATGGGGATCCAAACCTTCATTCTGTTGCCCAGGCCTTGCTTGTCATCATTGAGGCAGAAGCACAAGTGGGCCATTGTCCGTAGGAATACATGTGTGCAGGCCCCAGACAGACCCTTTGTGCCCTTTGATAAAAAGTCTTTGTTATTTTTCCAATAATTGCGTGTTGCAGCCAGTGTGAGAGGATGCCTCCATGGTGTCCCCTCCTCTCCTGGAAGTTTCAACATAAAAGCAGTGATTGCTTCTTCTCAACTTTTCCTATCTGGTCTCTCATGTCCTTCTGTCTGTGTTACCCAAAATGATAATGGTTTCTCCTACACTTTATGGATTACCTCACTGTGGTTCAAAGCGGGAATAGATACACAAACAGAAGTGAAACTTCACGCCACAATCTGGAAAAATAAATTTGCAATTTATACAACAGACAAAGGATTCGTATTCAGAATTCTTACAAATCAGCTTGGTATGACAACTAGCCTCATCAAAAAAAAAGAACAGTGATAGGAACAAGCATTTCACAGAAAGGAAACAATAGGTCATAAATATGAGAAGATGTTTCACTTCATTGATAAACAGGGAATGAAAATTCTATACCATGAGGGTAGAGAGCAAATGTTGATGAAAACCGCCTATGAGTGAAAATATTTATATGCTGCTAGGTTTTTTGTTCTTTTGGGTTTTTTTTGTGTTTTGTTTTGTTTTTTGCCAGTCTCTGGGTTTGTACTCAGGATTTAGGCGCTGTCCTTGAGCCTTTTTTGCTCAAGGCTAGCACTACCATTTGAGCCACAGCACCACTTCTGTCTTTTTCTGCTTATGTGGTGCTGAGCAACCGAACCCAGAGCTTCATCCATGCTAGGCAAGCACTCTATCACAAAGTCACATTCCCAGTCCTGTTTTTTTTCTTTGTTTTTGTTTTTGTAATATTAGCAGAATATATGTATATGTTTAGGGATTTTATTATTTATTTGTTTAGTTGTGGGGGCAGTACTAGCGATTGATCTTGCGGCCTTGTACTTGCTAACAGGCACTCTGTCACTTGAGCCACACCACTAACTCCTTTTTCCATTGGTTATTTTTAAGGTAAGGTCTCAATTAATGCCCAGGCTAATCTGGGCTACAGTCATCCTACTTATGACTCTCTAAGTCGCTGGTAATTTCAGGCACACCCCATTGTGCCTCTCCATAGCTGGATGATGGGCATGTGCCACTGTGCCCAGCCATTGGTTGAGGTAAAGTTTTGCAAACTTCTTTTATGTCCATCTAGCTTCAAACTTGGATCCCCAACCCTTGTCTCCACTTCCCAAATAACTAGAATTATAGGCTTAAACCACTTCATCTAGCTGTTTCGGGGTTTTATACTTCAATATGCCTATATCCTGTACCAGAGCACCTAGTAAAGATCTACCAAAGGGCTGAGAATTCAGTGTTTTGTTGTGGATCACTTGTAACCTCCACCTCAGGAAGCTCAGTATGAGAACACATTTTTAGAAATAAAAACAGTAGTTTAAACTCATAAGACTACCAGCTCAGTGGAAAATAACAGGGTTTATTATGTAAGGGTATTGTTTGAAGCCATGCATACATGAATGTGTACATTCCAATATCAATGTTTATTGAGTTGTGATGAAAAATACATTTTTTAATTCATTGGAAGCTGTTGGCTCAGAAAAACTTGTCTGTATGTGCATCAAGAACATTTGTATCATTGTTTCAGAGCTAAACACTAAAAGCAAGTTCATGTCTCTCTCTATATATATATAAATATATATTTTTTTGGTAGGTCGTGGGGCTTGAACTCTGGGCCTGGGCGCTGTCCCTCAGCTCTTCAGCTCAAGGCGAGCGCTCTACCACTTGAGCTACGGCGTCACTTCCGGTTTTCTGGTGGTTTATTGGAGATAGGAGTCTCACGGTCTCTCCTGCCCAGGCTGGCTTTGAACCGCGATCCTCAGATCTCAGCCTCCTGAGTAGCTAGGATTACAGGCGTGAGCCACCAGCGCCCAGCCATGTCTCTCTATATAGTGCAATATTTTAAAGTATTAGAAATTGAACAGTTGCCAGACTCTGGTGGTCCGCTCCTGTTGTCTTAGCTACTCAGGAGACCTAAAAGGTCAAGGTTTGAGGCTAGTCCAGGCAAAAAAAGTTTACTAATTCATATCCAAAATAACCAGCAAAGGCAGGGCTGGGAGAGAGAGAGAGAGGTAGAGGTGTGTGTGTAATGTGTGCAATATATATGAATGAGAATAGCTATGTAGTAAATCATTGAAAAAAGTAATAGAAGAAAGACTATTTGGATAAGGGTGCATAAGTCTCAATGTTGAGTCAAAAGTAAGGGATAGTACATTCACACTATGCTTTCAGAGTAATACCATACAGTTAAGTGAAAATATTTGCACGAATAAAAATATGCTCTAGGAATAATCACTAAATTCAAAATAATGTTTACTTCTGGGAAAGAAAAAGGAATGCAGCTGTGTGGGGGAATACACAAAGGCCTTCAGTTATATTTCAAACATTCTTATTTCTTCAAAAGTTTTTTTTTAAGCAATAGGGATTTATGACTTCAAAAACTTGAATGTGGGGGGCTGGGATGTGGCTTAGTGGTAGAGTGCTTGCCTAGCATGCATGAAGCCCTTGGTTTGATTCCTCAGAATGGAACAGAAAAAGAATAAACAGAAAAAGCCGGAAGTGGCACTGTGTCTCAAGTGATAGAGCACTTGCATTGAACACAGAGAGGCTCAAGAACAGTGCCCAGGTGCTGAGTTCAAGCCCCAGGACTGACAAAAAAAAGCAAACTTGAATGTGGGCTTTCTTTAATAGGCAAAATATGCCATAAGAGCAAAGGTAACTAATGAGAACAGTGGTTCCCAGAGGTAAATTTAACCCTTATAAACTAATCCTACAAGGTAGGGTAGAGAGCAGGAGATCCCATAACTTACTTAAGGTTGTATGTTGAATTGCAGAGCTGGGAATTGAACCTCAGGGGTCTCCTTACTGAGCCATGTTTTGGGAAGAATGTAAGAGCACGTACAAGTGAATTGAGAAGGGGGATTGTTTTGTTTATTTTATTTGGTTATTGTTTTATTTGTGTCTTCTTTAGGAAATGATTCGACTAGATGAGGTTCCTAATCTGAGTTCCTTAGTATCCAATTTCGATCAACAACAGCTTGCTAATTTCTGCCGGATTCTGGCTGTCACCATTTCAGAGATGGATACAGGGAATGATGACAAGCATACTCTTCTTGCCAAAAATGCTCAGCAGAAGAAGAGCTTGAGCTTGGGGCCTTCTGCAGCTGAAATCAACCAAGGTAATTTCTCCATAGTTCTCATCAGATTGTTTTTTTTCTTTTTCTTTTTTTTTTGGGGGGGGGTCCAGTCATGGGGCCTGAACTCAGGGCCTGGGCGCTGTCCCTCAGCTCTTCAGCTCAAGGTTAGCACTCTACCACTTGAGCCACAGCGCCACTTCTGGCTTTTTTCTTTTTGCTTCTGTGGTGCTGAGGAATCGAACCCAGGGCCTTATGCATGCAAGTCAAGTGCTCTACCACTGAGCCACCTTCCCAGCCCC